GTTTCAATTTTTTTTAAAATCTATTCTGTGGGTGTGGCCAATTTTGTGGGCGTGGCTTGGCAATCATGTGACTGGGCAGATATGGCCAACTTGACATCACTCATGCACACTCAGTCACATGACCACCACCACCACCCCCTAAGCCATATGGCAAAAATTTTTGGAACTCCTATGAAAAGGGGGGGGGAAGAGAGGGGAAAACCTCCCCAAAATAGACAACTGGAGGATTAAGGGCCGAAATTAGGGAGATCGGAGGAGGAAAGACAGAGGGGAATCCAGTAGAAATCTATCACATGCTGGGGAAAGAACTTTCGGAGATTGGAGGAGATTGGAGGAGGCAAGACAGGTGTCTGGTGGATTATGCTGCTGGACCTCTCCAGCAGGCGGGGGTGAGCGTGGAGCGCGACAGGGCTGGGGCAGGCGTTCCGGAAGTTACTTCCAGGTCCATTTCACCATCCGGTTCTCCCGATCCGGTGCGAACCAGCAGAAACCCACCACTGATTCCATGTTTCAGGTAGTCCTTGACTTATAACTATAATTGGGACCACAATTTCCATTTTAAATTTATAGGTTCAGTCATCACATGATCTGGCCAATTTTATGACTATTCTTATTTTGGTCATAAGTCAAGTTCTGCGATCATAAGTCGAGTCACTCAGTTATAAGTGCGATTCCAATTTAACCCATAGCAAATTGAATAACATAATCGTGGGACACTGCAGCTAATTGGAAATGTGAGTCTATTGCTAAGTGCCCAAGTTGCAATCATGTGATTGCAAGGGCAGGATGATTGTCATAAATTTGAATTTAGATTGTAACTGATATTTTTGTAGGCCATTGTTAATTTAAATATCATTAAGGTCTTCCTTTACTGGCTTTTTAAAGTCATTTTCTATGTGATCCTTGGCAGTGCTTAGGTTTGGTGAAGGATGCGAAACTTCAGGGAACCTTCGCAGTGGGGTAAAAATCTGAGATTGACAGAAAATATTTGTATGCAAAATGCATAGTCATTCATTAACTAGACTTTCCAAACTGGCATCCTCCAAATTGCAAATTACATAATCTCAGCCCATGCCAGGTTGGCAAAAAATATGTTACTTACTTTTGAATATATAACATAATAGATATTTTATCTATTTTTGGCATAGAGTACTGAAATATTAATATGTGTGGCATTGTGAATGACACAGGAACACCAGGTAGTTCAGCGTGATGTGCGTATGTCTTTCTAAATAATTTTCCCAAGTTAAATCAATACATGGCTTCTGTGAAAAGATAACATTACTCTGTTGAAACAAATTGTATTTGTATTCTGTACTGAGATACAGTATGTCTTTTGAAATGGCATTAATGTTTTAGTATTTGAGAGCTGTACAGATGCCAAAATCACTCTTTAGATCTGAAGTTTTTTTGTTTTGTTTGCTTATTTGTTTAAGCCTAAATTGCCTAGTAAGTTAATGGCAGAAATGAAATTCAAACCATCAGTAGTATACAGTCATTTACAGTTTTTCTTTTCTATATCACATCATATCTACGGTAGATGTTAATTTTGTTACATTAAACTAGACATGGTGTGTGTGTCTCTCTCTGTGTGTGTATCTTTTCATCTAAATTAAAATTACTTGTTTAATTAGCTTAAACTATTCTTAGAGTGTTGATAAAGGTTGGTCATTTATCTATATCAAAGACATAATTAATTGCATACCCTTTGTCATCTGTTTGCAAGAGCAGTCTTCAATATTGGTACAGGTAGTCCTCAACTGATGATTACAATTTCTACATATGTTAAATGAGTTTTGTCTCATTTTACAACTTTTCTTGCCACAGTTGTTGTGACTCAATGCAGCTGTTAGGTTAGTAGCACAGTTGCTAAATGAATCTGGATTTCCCATTGACTTTGCTTGTCAAAAGGTCACAAAAGGGGAATCACATGACCTTAGGACACTGCAACTGTGTCAGGGTTCCAAGTAAAATACTCATAGCAAAGAAAATTCTGAGGCAGCCAATATCCTCAAAGAATAGGTTCATTGGATATGTCATATTGGCGCAGGATTGTGAAAACCAATTCTGAATTCCCACAGCTTTTTTCAAAACAATTAGTCACAAGGTCCAATCAGGATACTGTCCAGTTGCTAGGTGACTCGAGTCCCTTCCTTCCGAGCGCTTGCAGGAATTCCTTGGTTCCCAAGACAAAGTATTTTGACTACAACACCCGAACTATCTCTATTCCTACCTCCCTATCCCTCTTCTTCAGTCCTTCAGTACTGAAGTCTCAAAATAGCTTCAGCCAGGCCAACATCATGGTTGACTGGCATCCCACCCCCCCTTAATTGAAAAGGAGTTTCTGGAAGAGGGCAAGAAAAGAACACAGATAGTTTAATTAAACACAAGCTTGACAAACTCATAAATATAAGTCAATTGCCAAGCGTCTGAATTTTGATCACGTTACTATGAGGATACCACAAAAGTTGTAAATGTGAAAAATGGTCATAATTAACATTTTTCAGTGGCGTTATAACTTTGAATGATCACTAAATGAGCTGTTGTAAGTCAAGAACTACCTGTGTTTTGACTCTCAATCTTGCTTGGTAATTTGTGGGCACATGACAATTCAACTGCAAAAAAAAAGCCACTTTAAAAAGCCACTTTCTTCATGTACTTTAAATATTTTTATGTCCATGTTTGCAGCTGAAAATATTAAATAAGACAATTGTATCTGCTTCATTCACAGATTGTAATAAGTATAGGCCTCATGTTCTATGTTGTCCACCGAGCTCAAATGGAATTGAATGCAGCCATAGTTGCATGTGAAATTGAAATGAAGACATCACTTGTGAAAAGCAGTCAGATCAGCAGCAACAATTCAACATCTTGCAACAAGAGGACACTTGCATTTTCTGGAGGAGGAATCAACATAGTGTGACTTTCTCTCAATTTTTGCAGTATTATCTTACGTTTGTGAAACTGGGTCATTTAATTTGTTGCTTACGACTGCTGGACTTTTCAGCAAAACTTACAAACCAAGTGGCCGGAAGATGTACTGTGATAAGAAGTACGTGGCAGTTTTTATATAGTAAACTGGCTAAATTTTTGTAGGGTTCAATAGTAACTATACATAGATGCAAATCTGGCTGCACCTTTGTCTTTATTATCATGACTTATAGCCTGCACTTTAGACTTTGTTCGATGTTTGCTTTTATAAACTGAAGAATACCCTGATACAATTTTCTTTCTGCTTAGCATTATTTATAAGACTGACTAATAAATGGTAGATCTTTAATACTTATAAAAATGTAAAGTATGCAACTTCATGTGCAGAACTCTTAAATATGCGTGTTTTTGAAACTCAGTGAAACCTTGATCTAACAGTGCAGTTTGCAGAATGGACTTTGCTCCTTCTGAATGCCCATGAAACTTCTAATTATATCATTCCAGGTGATTTAGCTATCTGAACAAATAATGTACACTGCCAAAAATGATGTAATGCTTGTTGAAAATTACAGGCCTCCTTTTGATTATCTTGGATGGAAAATTCTTCTCCATTAATTGGGAGAAAATGTAGAGAGAAATTGATTCACCACACCTGAAGTCTATTAAACAGGTATCCACTAAATTCAGGTTTCACTGTATTTCTGAAAAATACATTCTTTTTTTCAGAATTGAGAACAATCAATGCAGGAAAATCCCATTTTTCATAGCTGGGAGGATAAGATGAGCACTTCCTCATGAGAAAGCTGTTCTGGAATCCAGAGTAATCTTCTTGTTTGTAACAGGTTAAAGGACATACCCACACTTCTCTGGGGTTACCCCCTTAAAAAAGGGGGGGCATTTTTTCTATTTTGGGAACTATTTGGTTTCCTTACCTTGTTTTCTTAAAAAGTCTGAGAACTAAGAGACAAAAAACCCCTTTCATAAATCTTTAGTTGAATGTATTTTTGTAAGCCTCTGAAATGTTCTGGAGCCATCATAAATGTTCACATAAGTTCAAATCCTACATTGTGGGACTGAAGTGCTCTTATATAATATGTTAAGTTATACTGTATAATATGCAAAGTAAAAGAGAAACTACAGAGTACTTACAGATTGTGGAAAAGAGTAGTGTGAAGGAGAATTTGCAGGTGAAATGCAAATCTTTGAAGGGATTTATCTTTGTGAGTAACAACAAAAGGGCTCTTCCACTATTTCTAACTAGCTGTGAAAAGATTTTAGGAAACTAGATCAGATTTGCTTCATTCTGCACTCTGTAACATGAGCAAAATAGATGGAATAAACCTTTCTGAAAACATAATGATACTAATTAATCATGTGGCCTTTATTTTTTAGAGAAGCTTTTTGTTTTTTCTTTTTTGAAAAGCTTTAAAAATCCACGCAATTCCTCCCTACATATATTTTCTTCTGATCATAAAATAATGCCCTTATATAAGTTTTCTGCAGTATTTTAAGATTTCTATCTATAAGGATGTGTCTCTTTCCTTCCTTCCTTCCTTCCTTCCTTCCTTCCTTCCTTCCTTCCTTCCTTCC